GTTTTTTTTTTTTTTTTTTTTTTTTTTAAATGGGTGTATTTTAACTAGTGTAATTACATAAGCACAGCAAATTTGACTACTTCAAATTCTGCTGAGGGTTGATAAGCATATGGAGTTGGAATGCACTGATGGTGATAATTACCCATCATATTTCTCTCTCACACTTACTCTGTTTAATTCGCTCTTCTTTTTAGGAAATGGGGAGCTGAGTAATAAGGAGTTTATCGCCATCATGAAACAGCGGCTGATGCGTGGGCTGGAGAAGCCCAAGGATATGGGTTTCACCCGGCTGGTGCGTGCCATGTGGAAGTGTGCCCAGGACACTGCCTGGGACTTTGCCATGCCGAAACAGCAGTAACGGCTGAGACGGCCACCCGACCCCTGATGTTACGCTCCATATGGAGTATAATTAATCATTAAGGGATGAACTCCTTTGGAAGGCACATCTGATAACACGCATGCATGCTACAATGACCACTGCTCATCCTCGGGCTCTTCGGTGCCCACCTGCAACTCAACATCCAGAGCTCACTATCTTGTATTTATTTCTTGCTGTTGGCCAGTTTTGGAGTTGAATGCACAATTCTGCATACACTGGAATGTGACTGTAGCATGTGAAAACACAACAGCGAGAAGTCATCATCAAGTGCCATGAGTTCTCATCTGAAATGAATGTAAGAACTTAGATAATTCATACGATATCCAGCTTTGATTTTTAAAACACTCACCGTCACTTAAGGAAAAAACTCTATATTTTGCACTCCTGTTGTCAAATGTGTCTTAGTCTCCACTTCAGAACTGAATATTTAGAATATTTAGTGACAAGCAATTTCCATTTTGTTATAAGCTGCATTAATATTTTGAAAATCTGATTGTCGAATGGCTTTATAAGAGTGATGCTGAAAAAATTATATTAAAACATTTTACAGTACTGAAGTCTGTGTATTTCTGTGTTATTTAATAATATGAGGGGGTTTTATTTGATTAAGGCTTAAATCCCTCCAGCGGTCACAAAAAGGTGAACATGTCTTACATGCGGTACATACGCTAATACATAATGTCAAAAATGACAAAATTGTGTCCAAAACACTGTGCCATCTGTGAGAGGCTTGGGTCACTGCAGAGTGCGCTTTCAGTCCGACGACTTTAAACGTGCCGAGACGGATCCTTACCCTGTTCAGCACTGAACTGATGAGCGATTCCAGCTGCAGTGTTGAACCGATTCTCCATTGAGTGTCTCTGCATTAGTCTTACATGGACCACCAGCCTTTTGGGGGGACTTGACTGAATTGGTGTCATTGTAAACCTTCAATATTCGAGAAATCACAGATTTGGAACAAACCAGCTTCTCTTGCAGTGTCACAGGCTTTCAGTCACCTTAGAGCAGTAAAATTCAGTAAAATTGCTGATGGATTCATTGAACATTACTGAAGACTGATTCAACCCAGTACAGGCCCATTAACTTTCATTAAATGGTCTCGAATTAGCCAGACCCTTCTGAGTGGCATCTTAATTTAGGCTAAACCTGTAGCCTGGTTACTTCCAACTCGGTTACTCCTAGCATATTAAAAAAAACAAAAAAAAAAAACATTTAACCTAGGATTTAATTAATATGGATTGAAATGTGTTAATTGGTAGAAAACATTTTGGCAAACCTCATACCAAATTAAACAAGACAACTTCTCTTCTGAGAGAATTTGGTCAAAAACAGACAAACAGTTGAGTTTCAGTCCATGTTTTAATTACAGTTATAAGACTGATCATAAAGGAGACCAAATTACAAAATCCTGCGTAACATATGAAACCATAAAATATTCAAACTAAAACCAAACGAGGACGATTCATGTGTTATTTTAAGGGTGGTCTCCCAGTGTCTGTCAAACAGAAGTGGGCGGAGTCATTAACAACAGCTTCATCTTCAAATAAGACAAATCACCAGGCTCAAGATACACAGGCTCATAAAACGTTAACGCAACCATATTGACATTTCATTAACACATACTAGAAATGACGGAGTGATTCTCTTATTATATTAACAAATTACCTGTTAAGGACAACCGTATATAATTTGTCAAGCCAACTTTAAGAAACATTTTACAGTAAAGCCAAAACCATATTTTACATAAACTAATGAAAAAAACCTAAACGCAATGACTTGGCGCCACCATGTGGTGTCTAACTGCATGAAAGATAAGAGTGTAAAAAAATGACTGCCATACATACATACGCCTCACCAAGCCCTCGATTCCTGCCGCCTTCAGTCAGTGTCCAACACATAGCAGAGCGGTGTCAGCTGTGCAGGAACAGAGGGTAGACGGCTCAAAACAGTGCTTTTTAGAGCTGATATAGCCCCAAACGCGAAAGACGGATACGGATATAGAGGTTCATTTCGTTTGTAATCTCAGTCGCTGTCAAACTTAATGGAGTTCACTGAGGTGGAGATTGCACCGCCTCTATAACTGCCACGCTTCTTCTTGGTCTTCTCATGCCGGAAAGATTTGCCCTTGGTAAATTTAAGCACATTGTTGGCTTTCTGGCCCCAGTCACCGTTGGCTCCCATCTGGAAGTAAAGAACAGAAGAGTCACTATACATGCACAATCTCCACAGTTAATGTTGGCCTAATATGCATTCACGTTTATGGTCTTACCTTTGCATCGAATGAATTGTTTGACAGGCGGGGGTCCAGCTCAATTTCCTCGTCTCTTACTCTACGAAAAGGAGCATTGCTTTCCTTTATAAGTCACACAACAGAGAAACAGACAGAAAATGCATTTAAGACCAAGTGCATAAGCAAACAGTGTGGGCAGTATCCATCCACCTTACTTTTCCAGTAAGAGCGGACCATTTGTAAATGTAATGTGTCTGGCTTCCAGTGTCATCTGCTTCCAGCTATTTTTTAGCTGTACAAAGCAGCTCATTTTGCTGCTTGATATTGCAAACTGACGTTTTATTTTAATGTATCGTCTTTATTATAAACACACTGTGTTGTAGCACAAACAATTATATAATCTTCTCGTTATTTCCCTACCGCGGCTAATGAAGCGGAAGTCTTGCATATTCACAGAAAACGGCTTGCTTCCGCATTGAAAAATAAGGTGGATTTGCCAGTGTGGAGCTTCCTACTGTGGAATGAGGAATTCTTGCCTCTGCTAAGAGCTATAAACTTGTATGCATAATGTGCGCGTGTGTGTGTGTGTGTGTATTTAATACAGTGCATTCGGAAAGTATTCAGACCCCCGTTCACTTGTAGCCTGTAGACTACAATCGTTTAAATTCTTATTTTTCTACTTAATCTACACTCAGTACGCCATAATGAAAAAGTGAAAACAGAATTTTAGAAATGTCTGTAAATGTATTAAAAAGAAAAGTACTGAACTAGACCCAAGTCTAAACACTTGTGTTTTGAGAACGAACAAAAGTCTTGGGTTTGGAACAACATGGCGAGTAAACGACAATTTTCATTTCGGGTGGACTAACCTTTTAACACTCAAGGGATGTGAAGCACCAGTGCCGCTTGCATCAAAGCAAGAATCACTGGATCAATAAATACTAGCATACATCCTTCAGTGTTATCTGTATGTTATACCTTGCCTGGAATTACAATCGCCCACCTCCAGATTCCCAATGTGACCCCTGGGTGTGTTTGAATATGCACTGTACAAGAGCCAACATCAACACAAAACATGCTCACAATCACAGCCCCTTTACCTTCTGTTTGGTTCTGGGAAAAGTCTGAGGTGTGGATGTGGTGATTTCATTCTTGGGTGTTGTCGTTTCTTCCTCTTTGCCCTTTTTTTTGCTCTTTGTGCCTGCGATCAGAGGAGAGAACCGGAAAAACAATATGTGAGTGGTTTACAATAGTGCTTAAGGCTAGATGGTTTAGAAGATAGATGATAAATATCAAGTTTTACACTGATATGGCAACATGACACTGTGCCCTAACCAGATGGAACAAATGCCCTCTTCCAAGCTGATCTGAGTGTGTGGACTTGACCTGCCACAAGCAATATGACATTTGTTTGGATGGGTGGCTTTTATGGCTCCATTCCAAACTGAGCATCCTACATAAGCAGCAATTCAAATCATCATAGGTGTGCTACCAATTTTTATCCAAGACGGCAGACAAACCCAGAAGAATGCTGACTGCAATTCATTCAATACCATAGTAGTATTGATAAAAATTGACCACAATATTTATTTATGCTTATTAAAATATCACATTGTTTGCTTAGCAACATGCAACAGGTTTGCTTTTGACATTGGTGGAGACATAACAGCAGGATATTTCAGCTAACAGTTTGCTTTGTGCATTCAGTTTAACAACATTATGTTAAAGACTCAGGACGCTGTTCAAAATCCTGCCGCACCACAGAGCGCTACTCACAGTTTTCCATAAAATCACATTATATTTGTACCAAATTATTGTTCATTAAAATAATGACTTCAACCTAGGCTGGAAGATTGTGTATTGTGCATCTTTCAGCACAATGTTTCTTTCTGTCCGTATGCTTTATATAGACAGCTAATAATGGCCATAGATTGCGCTCTCTCTTTGCTCTGTTTTGTACCTTCAAACTCATCGATGCAACTTTGTTAATTCCTGAAGTGAACATGTATATGAACGGTTTTGGACTGCTGTCATGAACTGGGTTCAATGAGAGTCGTCCTAGACGCAGCGCTGCGCTTCTTGTATGGTGTGCGACTGCCTTATGCTCTTACTTTGCCCATGTATTAAATGTGCATCCTTGAAAGCACGCAGTTTTCTAGTGTAACTTCTTAGGTAACATCACTGGTTTGACACATTTCAAATGCATCTGAAATTACAAAAACAAACATATTTAACTGTTTGATCAAAATCATTGCTAGGGGCAATTTGGAAGTTGCTGGACGCTCTTACTAACTCCATTCAATTTACTTGTGATTTCCGTGTCCTATGAACTCCACATAAGGAGCGCTATAGGGCTGTCAAATCAAGGAAGTCCTATAAGTGGTACACGTGACATGATGGGTTAGGTTACATTTGAATGTTTTTGTTAGGCAGCTGAACCCTCTAGATGCAACTTCCTGCTATGTTCATTCAAAACATGGCAATAAAAGAACGGTGGCACTTCTCAATTGTTTTTCTATGCAACTAAATTTACATCTTTGACTGCTAGTGCGCTCAAATTTTCAGAACACTGACCTTCATCTTCTGTGTGAACAGCCCCTTAAAATGTGCTGAGTAGTGCTTTTGTCACACATAAGAGTCATGTTTTTAAAATAACATGACAAGTTAAACTTAAAAAAAAAAAAAAAATTATATATACAGTGGGTACGGAAAGTATTCAGACCCCCTTAAATTTTTCAGAGGAAAAAAAATTAACTTAAATGATTTTAGCAAATGGCTGCAATATAACAAAGAGTGAAAAATTTAAGGGGGTCTGAATACTTTACGTACCCACTGTATATATAATGACTTTATCCTCCTTTTCTGCTGCCCATTATCAAACATTAAAAGTGCTAAGTGGTGCTTTACTGTTTTTTGGGGAGTCACAGAAAAAATCTGACAGGTTTGATTGAGTGTTTACGTAATATGTTGAAAGTAATAAGAACTGGCCTGGGAACCAGTAACACGCAAAACACCTTGCTATCAGACATATTGAATACCGTTTGTTGTGACAGGAGTCTTGGGTGTCGCCGTCGTCTCCTCTTCTTCTTCAGATGAAGAGTCCTCAGACGAGCTGCTGTCTGCTTTGGCCTTAGCAGCCTGTGCTTTTGTAGCAGGTGGTGTCTTCACAGCTGGTGTTTTAGGAGACTCCTCTTCATCAGAACTGCTGTCACTCGAGGATGAAGGCTTTGCTGTCTTTTTAGCTGGCGTCTTCGCTGCTGAGGTGGGTGTTTTTGTTGTAGCAGCCTTTCTGTTGGTGACTGCAGGCTTGGCGGGAGTCTTCTTAGCCTCTGTCTCAGAGTCTGAGCTACTGCTCTCGGCTTTCTTCGCGCTAACTGGAGTCACGGCCGGCTTAGTTGCTGCTGCTTTGGGTGTCACAGTAGTCTTTACTTTCTTCTCGTCTTCACTGGAACTGCCTGAATCACTGCTGCTGGACTCAGCTGCATTCTTACTGGCTGGAGCAGGTGGTTTGGAGGCAGAAGCAGGGCTCTTAGTAGCAGTAGCTGCTGCTGGTTTAGCTTTCTTAGCAGCCGGAGTCTCATGTTCAGAGTCAGAGCTGTCGGTTTTAGAGTCAGAACTACTATCAGCTGGTTTAGCTGCAACTGCAGGTTTAGCTGGGGTACCAGGTTTGGATACCGGTGTGGTGACGGCTTTCTTTTGAGGTTCCTCATCATTTGAAGAGCTGTCTGAGTCCGAGCTGCTTGCCGCTGGTTTACCAGTTGGTTTGGCTGCAGGAGTTGGTTTGGCTGGGGCAGGTTTTGCTGGGGTAGCAGGTTTGGATACCGGTGTGCCGGCAGGTTTCTTTTGAGGTTCTTCATCTGAAGAGCTGTCCGAGTCAGAGCTGGATTCGGCGGGCTTGGCTGCAGGTTTAGGAGTGCTCAAAGGCTTGGACTTAGCTGCTGGTTTAGCTGGTGCCTCATCTTCAGAGCTGTCTGAATCTGTGCGAGATAAAAATAGATCTATAAGCTAATACAATCTTGATAAACAGCACTCAAATGGTAACACTATTTCTCTAGATCTTTTCATTCACTGCCACACCATTTCAGACCTGTATGACTTGATTTTTTCTAAACATCTCAAACTGTAAATGACCAAAAAAAGAAAGCTTAAGGCTTCAGAAATATTGGTATAGCCTTGTCATTTTCTTTGTATGGAAAAAGAGCATCATGAACATTCTTCAAAACATCTCCTTTTGTGTTCCATTTTAGACAATCATACATGTGAACGACACGAAGGCAAGTAAGATTAAATGCAAAAGTTTGTATCTTTATGGACATGATGACAACTGACCTGAACTTGAAGAATCATCTTTCTTAGCAGGGGTCGTCTTTGGAGGAGCAGCTTTAGCAGGAGCAGCCTTGGCTGGGGTTGGTTTTGTGGCGGGTTTGTCTTCCTCAGACTCAGAGCTAGATGATGACAATTCTTTTGCAGTGGGCTTGACTTTAGCTGGCATTTTCTTGGCTGGCGCAGGTTTAACTGGGACAGCTTTAGCTGCTGGTTTCTTGGCCGCCTCCTCATCGCCCGAGTCTTCAGAGCTAGAAGATGAAGCCTTGTCTGCAGCCGGGGTGACTTTTGCAGGTGTAGATTTAGCAGATGCAGCTTTTGCAGGTGTAGATTTAGCAGATACAGCTTTTGCAGGTGTAGATTTAGCAGATGCAGCTTTTGCAGGTGTAGATTTAGCAGATACAGCTTTTGCAGGTGTAGATTTAGCAGATGCAGCTTTTGCAGGTGTAGATTTAGCAGATGCCGCTTTTGCAGGTGTGCCTTTGACAGCAGGCTTTGCTGCTTCGTCCTCTGAGCTTGAAGAATCGGAACTTGAAGAGTCCTTTTTCTGAGCATGAGCGACTTTTTTAGGTGCTTTCTTAGCTGGGGCTGCTTTAGCTGGAGCAGTTTTAGCAGCTGGTTTCTTTGCTTTATCCTCTGAACTTGAATCTGAGAAAAATAAAGCAGTTTATTAGCACTTTCTGCGACAGAAAAAAAAAAGTCTCCAAAAACTACTATTTGTGGTGATAATCTACAGAGAGGGCAGTACCAGAGCTGTCAGAACTGGATGAGTCCTTCTTAGCAGTAGCTTTGGGAGTCACAGTCTTAACTGGAGCTGCTGGGGGAGACACAATTGGGGAAAAAAATAAATAATTCACACCTATATTTTATGACATTTTCATTATTAAACACCAACCAATCCCATTACAATTATATATAATCTACATTTTATATTACACTGCCTTTAGGAAAGTTAAAGTTTATTGATTAAAGTTAAATGATTTTCATTCAAACCAGGATTATTATTATTTTTTATTTTTATTTTTTTTAAATAGTTGCATTACCAGGGTATATACAGGAATCATGGAGTTAAATTTAATACCTTTTAAGACCTTTAAGACTCTTTCCATACATTTTAAGACCTCATCGCCAGTCCAAGTTTTAACCAGTTACATCGGCGACACTTTAACCTACATTTACTATATATTGATTGTAAGATAGCACAACTAAACCGACTTACTTTGTGATAACTCCTTATCAATGCAACATAATTCAGAAGGGGCGAACGAAGCGCAAGATAATTAATTGAGTGACTAACCAATGCAACCCAAGAAACAAGAATTAGACCAATAAACAAAACTGACAAAACTTATTGAGGAGGGAAAATAAAGCTCTCCGAGCTAACGGGGCAATGAGTTCACACAGTATATTCAAAAGATTTATTTGTCACATCAACTCTTATAACTGTCTGCAAACCATAGCTGTTTTGTGGAACACTTCTCATGACAAACACCTGACTGATCAGACAGTTTACCTGTGATTACGGAGTGCTTGATTTGATGCAGACTTGACAGAGTGTCAGTACTGCACCTGATCATGTCTGAATGATCATGGAAGGTAAAATAATGATCACAACTATTACATCATTTTAATTGTGCATCCCAAGCCCATGCCAGTAATAAAAAAACAGCCCAAAGTAGCGCAAATACCATGTCCCAAATATACAAATGTCATTCCCATCCCTAAAATACATATTTTACAGGCACTGTTATGCACATTTATTATAAACACAGCTCAAATGCTTTCTACTAGTGTGGCCCAAAACATTTAGCACAGTTTTATTACAGGTAGAATGCAAAACGTTTCAGTCCAAGCATTTCAACCAAATGTAATTTATGCAATATTTTAAACTTTTAACCCACTGGGGAAAATCAACCCATGGCAACAAGTTTAAAAGCAGCACAATTTCGTGGAAAAAAACAACCACCACCACCCTGCATCCAACACGAGCTGCAGAAGCCAGATTTGACGGATCACGGGTCAAAAGTAAGGAGAGATAACTGACAAGATGTTGGAGGATTTGCTGCTCAACAGATCCCGAGCTCATTGACAAATATCTTTTATCGTAAGATGTGCTGCCTTTACACAGTGCGCACGCGATCGCAAATGTAAGAAAAGAAAAAAAAAAACCCACAAGATTCAAGTTAATTACGGTCGAGGGATAATTTGAAAGTTTAATATTTTAGTTACAATTTTCTTAGGGAAAACTTTATTTTGGGACCAAACATGCAAATTAACCTGTGCTTTAATCTTTGTACAATATACAGTAGGTATAGAAACCCCCTTTAATCACCCCCTTTAAAATAATCACATTTTGTTGCTCTGCAGCCTGAAATGAAGACGGACACCGTTTTTGTTTTATCCAGCTGTATTTACTCAGTGCAACTTATAACATCCAAGTGAAAGATAGAACACCAACATGTCAGAAAAAAAAAAAAAAAAAAACAGTATCACTAAGTTGGAAAAATTATCACACCCTCCTAAAAATAACTTGTAGCGGATCCCCTTCTCAATTTGTATTTTTTTCGGAAATGTTGGTGTTTTATCTTTCACTTGGATGTTATAAGTTGCACTGAGTAAATACAGCTGGATAAAACAAAAACTGTGTCCGTCTTCATTTCAGACTTTTACATTTTTCATGTATTCATTTATAATGGTTTATTGATTTATGTATTGTGCTGAAATCATGCTTTTTGTACGGTCCTTATACAAATAAAGTTAGTCATAAAATAGGATTAATTTTCTGTATTGAAATTATAATTTATAGCTCATTGATGAAAATGTGTAAAATTGAATTCTGTGTTATATTACTATATCTATACTCTTACCAGGAGCTTTGACTGGAGCACGAGCTGTCAGTGTTCCCGGGGGTGGTACGGCATTGAATTGTCCTGTAAATAGAGATGATCTTCAAGTTCATGTTTGTCTCCACTTTTTCAGAAACTCACTTTTGCCTCATAAAATTTCTTACCATGTTCAAATGAGGCATGCTTAGAACTTATACTCCCCCCACCCAAAAACATAAATAAAAATAAACAGTTTAATTATGTTGAGATCCCATGATCTGGTGAATAAAGCTTAAAGGGGTCATATGATGCTGCTAAAAAGAACATTTGGTGTATTTGGTGTAATGAAATGTGTTTATGCGGTTTAAAGTTAGCACCCATGGTGATAGTTGTCAGTATAAAGTCTAAGATCACTGTACTGGTTGTTTGGGAAGACTGATAGCTGCCAGCAAACCCCATTTCTTAATGCACCTTTAAGATCGACCAATGTGGAAAAAAAATAGTAATACCAGTCTTGGGTTTCTTAGTAGGAGGGGCATCTTCCTCATCGGAGGATGACTCCTCACTGCTGGACTCTGCAGGAGCCACAGGTTTAGCTGGAGGGGTCTTCACTGGGACTGGTGCTTTTACTGCTGTCTGTGAGAAAGTAAACAAATTAATTGATTTATTTTGTATTCTGAAAAAAAATAAAAATCATAGGCTCTATTATGGTTACAATTTTCAGAATTTCAGAAAGATTTCAGAAAAAAATCAATTGATCAGACATCCTTTTTGCATATTAAAATGTAATTTAACCATTAAAACAGAAAACAGTAACATAAAAACTGAAAACAAAAAATTTGGGAGAAAAAAAACTAGATTTCTGAAGAATGATTATGTTGGACTTAAGTTAATGTACCTTAACTGGAGCCTCATCCTCAGATTCACTAGAGCTGTCCTCACTGCTGCTACTGTCCTGTTTCTTCTGAGCTGCAGACACTGGAGTGGACGCCGGTTTGGGGGTCCCTGCCACAGGCTTGGCCTTTGCTCCTGGAGACCACAGATCACCACTTTGAACATGTAACTTACTTTGAGCACTTGCACTTAAGAATAAGAACTCATGCTTCACCACACCTCTAGCTGGAGTTTTGGCCGGCTCCTCGTCAGAGTCGGACTCCTCGCTGCTGGAACTGGTGTCTTTCTTCCTGGCTGCTGCTGCAGCAGGTTTCACAGCTGCAGGCTTCTGTGCACCAAATGAACAAGATCCAGATTCAGGAAGAGGCATCCTAGCACAGACATACCACACACACTCACGTAAACAGCATGCAGCTTCCTGACCTTTGCTGCTGTTTTAGCCTGAGCTTCATCCTCCGAGTCGCTGGAGTCTTCAGAGCTGCTGCTCTTTTTAGCAGCTACAGCTGCTGGCTTCTTTGAAACAGGAGCTTTCGCTGTTAAATGAATAACATTTAGTTAAATACTTAATATTTAAGTTAAATACTTAATGCAGTGTTGAAACACACTACTGTCAGTAAGATTTTTTTTTGTTTTAAATGAATTAATACTTTTCAGGAAAGATGTGTTAAAGAACATTTTCAACATTGATATTAAGAAATGTTTCTTGAACACCACATCAGCATATCAGAATGATTTCTGAAGGATCGTGTGACACTGAAGACTGGAGTAATGATGCTGAAAATACAGCTTTGCATCACAGGAATTAACTACACTTTAAAATATATTCAAATAGAAAACAGTTATGTTAACCTGTAAAAATACAACGCAATATTACTGATTTTATTGTTTTTTTAATAGGGATGCACGATATATCGGCCACCATATCGGTATCGGCCGATAAATGCTAATTTTTTCTGTTATCGGTATCGGCCCGATAAGAAAATTTGGCCGATATCTTAAAGCCGATAAATAATGCATTATTTCCTTCAGAGACACTTCAGATGCGCGCTGTTCGTTTGCAGCCTTTTGTGCAATTGTACGTTGTAATATTGTGTTTATTTGATGTATATCTGATTTATCTCATATACAATGCGTTTGGTTAAGTTAAAAGAGCGCTTCAGTTTACCGGTGATCATCTTTAGCTCAGCGCACGCAGCTCAAACAGCAGTGCACAACATTAATAACTATGATTGGGAATGTCGTGTATATAACATTCTAATGAGAACATTATTATAATAAAACGTTGTGAATTCTTTGGGTTTATTATCGGTATCGGCCAAAATTTTCATATCGGTGCATCCCTAATTTTTAATCAAGTAACTGCAACCTTGCTGCACAAAAAACAGCTCTGTACCTTGTACGACTTTCTTGGCAGGTGCTGCAGCTTCCTCTTCACTGCTGGAGTCCTCACTACTTGAACTCACCGCATCTTTCTTTGCTTTCTTGGCTGATGGGCCGTTGACCGCCGAAGGGCCACTGGTGACTGCTTTACGCTTTTTGGTTTCTGGAGACCTTGAGCGGGCAAATAATAGAAATTACAAGCCAACAGTAGAAGTGACGACAAAACTACAAGTACTACCGGACCAAGAGTGACCTCCAGTTGCCACACAAGCAAATCTAAGACACAGCTTGTAAGTTACATACTTCACCCAAAAATTGAAGATGTCCAAGAGACTGTCCTCATTTTGATCTTGAGGTTTCTAATGAGATGAAACGGATACAATTGTAAATTAGTATAATATTGAATAAAACTCAAATAGTGTAAAACTTAACTAAAACTTACATACGTATAATAAGTACAACTAAAACTTATAAAAGTACAATTAGTAGCAGAAGCCCCAACTTTGTTATCTTATTAGTGGCAGAGACGCTTTGAATCAAGACTTCTGTGGCTATATAACAGGTGTGTGAATCATTTATGTAGGTTAAATGTACATTTTTTGATTTTCTGTTCATTTTGATTACCCTTGGCCTGAAGTTCTCCCTTCCCACTTTTTTGTTTGTCATCTGTTATGTTGTATAATTGTATAACTCTTAATATAAAGACAACATACAGCACTCAACCTGCTGAAAAAAGCCTATCTTAAAAGAATCATGAGGAATAATTAATTTTGTACGGACAAGGACAGGTTAAATGTGTGAGAAAAGCTAAGCTGTAATGACGCAGGTCAAAATGATACAAAACCCGGCAGGAATGAAACGCACTTAAACACACCGCTCATACACACGTGCTCCACACAAACTGCGTGTTAATTCCCACGCGTGAGCATTAGTACAGACACAATGCAGGACTACAACTCCCACGCGCACGAGGGGCTCAACTAAACATGCAAACAAGGCTCTTACCACTTTAGCCTTCTTTAAAAACTCTTTCGCGGCTTTGGCGAACTTATTTTCCACGAGAAACGAGTACACATGCTGGAAGAGATCGCTGGGCACCGTACCGTCCTGCGCCATCTTCGTTGCTCGTGTGGAGGAGGAGGAGCGCGATTGGCTATTTCACCGTCACATGGGAAGCTGAAAATGGCGCACAGTAAGTGCGTCACACTACGTGCACGATCGCATTACGTAGTTATAAATATTGTAGATTTTTTTTAATCACCCCCCATGTTTATAGTATTTAAGAATTATTTGAGACAATACTCAAAAACTTTGTCAAAAACAAAAAATAAAAACGCTGGAATCTTGTTAGATTTATTTGATAAATATAATTAAGTTGGCTTGTGAAAGCCAACTTACTGAAATGCTATTTAAACTTCTTATTATTCTTCTTCTGATCCTAAATTATCAACTCTATCTCCTCCTAGAGCTTTACTATCTATCTGACTTTTTCTTTCTTCCTTTCTTTCTTCCTTTCTTTCATTCGTTCTTTCTTTTGTTCATTCTTTCTTTCTAAGTATCTGACTATTTCTGTCTATCTATCTATCTATCTGACGATCTCTATCTATCTATCTATCTATCTATCTATCTGACGATCTCTATCTATCTATCTATCTATCTATCTATCTATCTATCTATCTGACGATCTCTATCTATCTATCTATCTATCTATCTATCTATCTATCTATCTGACGATCTCTATCTATCTATCTATCTATCTATCTATCTATCTATCTATCTATCTATCTATCTATCTATCTATCTATCTATCTATCTATCTATCTATCTATCTATCTATCTATCTATCTATCTATCTATCTATCTATCTATCTATCTATCTATCTATCTATCTATCTATCTATCTATCTATCTATCTATCTATCTATCTATCTATCTATCTATCTATCTATCTATCTATCTATCTATCTATCTATCTATCTATC